TTTTTTTTACACCGAAGTAACCGGAGTATCCGGAGTATCTTTATCATTTTGTTGATTATTACCTATATCCAGTAGGTATAATATCAGAGTCAAATTATTGCAAAATATTTGCGGGTTTTATAGATTTTTACTTACATTAATCCTCTCCGAATGTTTTTATAAAAGTAGGTATGTTATATTATTGTATCCAATAATAATAAAACATTATTATGTAATATTTATGCAAGTTATGAAAATTTAAAATGATTATCCAATAGCGCGTTCAAAGATATGTTGAAAATGTTGTTTTGTCGCTTTCTTTATTACTTTAACTTTATTTTCCTGTAGATATTTGTTCGAAAAACATTTTTGTACTTAGCTATGGATACAATTACGGAATAGCAAAATAAGCTCGAAGCGATATGCAAACTAGCTGGGATAATGCATACGCGAGTTACCAATATTTAATATTTGTTCGAAATTTAAATATTCGAGCGATTACAATAATTGATACCGATATAGGAAGCTTCGCTAAAAAGAAGCGATCAAGCGTATTGCTGATGTATTTACAAACCAAAATAATGAAAGTTCAATATTCAGCACAAACTGAAATTCTCGTTGTTATAAGCGGATTTTATACGTTTTAATTGCCGTCCATACACGTATTCACCTAAATGCGATAAACCATTTCGTAATGTTATAACTTCCCCCTTTCTAATTATTAAAACGCCGACTAGTTAATTAATAATTTAATTTCATAACAAATAGGACTAGTAACCTAAATTTATCCCTTATAATTATTAGTATTAGCTAACACAATTGGAAACTCGATAATATTGCACTGGCTTCGCGCTTCCGACAGCGTAAAGAACATTAATGCTCTTATAGCTATAATTACATCCCTACTAACACAACCATATTGAATTATTAAATAAATTGCCAATTAATTGAAGCATTCACATTACTCTGTATGGATTATACAAATTGACTTGTCCAGTAATTATTCCAATAAGCCATTCAACTGACTGATTCAGTAAATAACTTTTCTGTATTTCTGAAGAATCCTCCACAGGAGCTCAAGGATCTTCAAGGATTACTTCAAACGATACTCACTCGACCTATACACACGTACCTATATTTAATATACCAATATTAGTAAATTATATTAGGATTAAATCAGCTTGTGGAAATTATTCGGCTTAGTGGCGCTCTGGTCGTCTAAAGATGAATGTAGAACGGACAATGTATGGTCAGCTATTCGGATTCATGAAGTACGCCTGCATTCGGTCGTAATGCCGGGCGAATGGGGAAAACATCAAAATCGAATGTCGAAATGCTCGGAGAAAAATGTTCTGCAGGCGCTATCTATCGCTGGCCGGGGTAGAACGTTGACGTCGATGTTAATCCGCACTTTTAATTTTTAATTAACAAATATAGGAGATCAAATTGTTTGTTCGAGCCGGAAATTTTAATCTACACATGCAGGATGAGCGATTATAGTTCCCTATGTCGTTGTCGAATACTTTTTGCGCGTTTTTCCGAGCTCATACAAACGCAAAAGTTCCTGAAATCATTTTTGGTCAGGGCCTGGAATTATTTCTACCATGGTTCCTAATGTATTTTATTCAATTTGTGGAAAACTCTATTGATCGACTAGTCTATATTTTTTTAGGCTTTGAACAGTATTACGATAAGCTTAGTACCGACGACCTCGCTCGGTAACTAATTTAAAAAGCATTATCAAAAATGGAACAAATAAATTGTCTGATTTGCTCACTTAGTTCGAGATACGTTTCACAAAGAAAGCAGTACATCATGGCGCAGCTTATAATCTAAATTGCCCTACCTGTTTCACTTTATCATAATGGTTTTCGAATTATCCGATGGAAATAAAGACTGTTATGTTTGAATGTACGCTAACGTCATCCATTAGAGATTTAAAGCATCTCTTTTGTACGTTTCCAAGTGATGTATGTTTTGTGAAATTAAATTAAAAATGTAATGCTTGCTAGAATGTGCTGCATTTTATAGTCTTTGCTGCCTATAATGGAAAAGTCGCTTCAATTTGGGTTTTTATTCTACCGTATGATGAAATGCTAACTTTTTACTTTTTTCCGTCTTGCAAAAGCCCTCTAATAAACATTTTAAAAGCCTTTGGTTACTATTGAAAGAATACAATTGCAATTTCGCATTTTTGTGGGTTCAATTTGAAGTTAAAAAGTTTATGAATTGTTTATATTTAGAACTAGTAACAATTATCTAATCTAATTTTAATTCGTGAAAGTTCCTCTAGGACCAAGTCGAGTCGATGCTTGTTTAAGGAATATTTAACTAGGCAGGATTAATTTTTAACGAAGATAATTTCACCGATGGTCCCTCGACACGAAAGTTTTTTTAGGAAGTAAAAGTCAATAAGCACTTTTAAGCAACTTGGTCAGTTGGTGAACATTTGTTTTCAATGAAAATATTGTGAATACCTTCGGAATTACAATCGTGTAACACGCTAACCCTTCGAAATTGTTGAAATGAGATATGGAGGTCATTTTCTTTAACTAAAATGTTAACACCGATATCGGGGAAAAATTCTTCTACACGAAATGTTCCTGAAAATATTTTTTATCAAAGAAAAGTTTATAATAAATGTCGTAATTTAAAATAATTCTTCATTTATACTGGGTGGCCTACATTATTAAAAGTTAAATTATTAAAGTTTTGCTGTGTCAAGGTTTGTGTAATTGAGTAATTGGACTTTATGCAGATTAATTTCTTTTGAAAAGAAACGTAAAGAAGTCGTTATTGGTAGGCAAAGAGCCTGTTTCTTTTTAATTTAAAAATAAGTATTTCGATCGTTGCGAAAATACACCAATCCTCTTAGCTCTCTTTTTTATTTATCGCCCGATAATCGGCATCCGACGATTACGTCCTCCTGGAATTTTGATGAGGCAAAAGAAAACAAGGTTTTCCTTTTAAAGTGAAACTGCTTATGTGAAAACGCTCGAAAATACGACATGGAGAGTTGACGGAATTACGACAGAAAGATCCCCATTTCCTTTTACAAGCACTTCACTATTAATTTACATGTAGAAGTAGTTCGAAGGAATAATCGAGTATCCTACGCTTACGTCAGACGCTTTCCTGCGCATCTGCATCTGAATGGGGCTTTTTTGTTCCCCAGGACTCGAGTTTGACGGACGATAGTGGAGCTGCAAAGTAGAGTAACTCGTAAGATATACATAGAAATTGGGTTTAGTCAAATGCACTTTGAGCGCAAAATCATTCTCTATAATACCTAAAATAATGCTGGTTATAAATAGTTTTGGTTGCGAAAGGCCAAAAATATTAGCGCTACATTAAGAAATGCTGTAAGCAGCAGTCATTTGGTATTATTACTTTGTTAGTTTATGTTACCAAATTATGCAATGGAGGAATACAATCGCATTTAGTGTGCAAACTTTCGAGCCATAAGCCGTCATTAATAGAAATGAAATTCTGGTGTACGAGCAGTAATTTAGCAAATTATCTGCATAATGCTTAATATTACAACTTTCTTCTAAAAACCATTCGCTTTGACGACTAACCGTTTAAACGAGGAAGGAGTTTCGCTGGCCATTAGCGTAATAATAAGGTAAACGAGCAGCCTTGAAAAGTCGTAATCATAACAGTTTATGTACTACTTCTACTTTTCTTCTATATTAAAGTTTTGAAATTAGGTAGTAGCTGTGCGAGTGGGTACATTGTTTTGTAACTGACACCATCAGTTCGGGCAGCGAACGAGTTCTAAACGTGGAACGCTGCGAAATGCTATCATTTTATATGCTCTCAAATTATCCTATACGGCAAATAACAATTTGCTTCGGGGCGAATGTACTTTGAATACCCGATGAATAGTCGCTAATTTTACTACTTTGTTGCAGAACCGGGCGACGTAACACATGACATTATTCAAATTTTGCAGGCTGTCGTTATGATTTATAACTGGAAGCATACTCTCGTTATATTTTAGCGTTGCTAAGCCCTAGCGCATCAAGGACCTTGTAAATTATAGATACATTGCATTACAACATGAGGAGTCGGTAAGGCGACTTTTATTCAATTATGCGAATACTAATAGATAAAAAATAACTAGTGAATACAATAGTGTTAATAAGAACATTCTACACACCTACACCAGCATTTGCCCAGTTATTTGGAATCACCCGGTATAAAAATATGCATTTTATTTTAAGAAAGAGCTCCTTCGACAATTCAATGTTGCATTTCCGATTTCATTTTTATTCAGCCATTCACAATAACGAGCTACTTGACAGATCGAAGACGGGACTTCTATGGAATTGTTGGCGGATTCTCTTAAATATTTTACGAAACTGCCCGTTCTCGCCGATGCAATTTCCACAGACGCGCTGATTACATTAAACTGTCCTTCACGTTGTCATTTTGCATGTCGCCGAACTCGAATTTTCGAGATAGACTGTCACGCAGCCGACTGATTCATGTTAATTTCATTACACTCCGATAAAAATTCGAACGCGATTTACATTCCCGTCCTTCCTCCTGCTCCATTCGCCGGGCTCGGTGTTTTTCACGTCCACTGCATGCGGATTTGACTTGTGAAGTTTTTAATCAAAATCGAGCGTATTTATTGTAATGTAATCGATTTTCGGAATTGATCATTTAACTCCGTTTTGGGGTGGAAAATTGGAAGGTTTTCGACCGAAAAGTGGATGTATTGAAAGTGTGTGTTTTAATTATATTATTGATGTTATCGATATACATTCTAATGCGTAACACTCTGTATATTATTTTAATTAAATAGGTACCTAAATTATCGATTCATCATTACATTTGTCTCTAAATATAATCTTTTAGTTCTTAAAAATGTCTTTCTAAATTTGCCATAGAATTATAAATTAGTAAGTTCGAGATTGCTGGAATTTTTCTAGTAAACTATGAGTAAGCAAACCGAAGTACATACAGTAACCATTGCTATGTCTTCGTAATGTGACATTAACGTCGCCGTCATTTTAGGTTTCATTGTATATGTTTTAAATGTAAGTAATTTTGGTTCGCGGAGATTTCCCAAATAATTAACACATGAAAAATTATGAAAATAATCAATATTCGACAAAACCACAATCCACCCGGAATTTTATAAAAGAAAATTTCCTAAACATCAAGAGTATACAGCGGATAATAAGAATGAACAAAGGGTCCAAATTGAAGCTCGTCAAGGGTGACAAATTTCAGAATGTGCCGAATTGGACGGCGGATTATTCCGGCGACGTGCCGCCTCGCGGGGAAGTACCCACCAAAGTGGAACCTGCGAAGAAGGCCGTACCGTTAAAGGCGAGAAACACGGAGAACGTGACCAAACAAAGGCAAGAGGAAAAACCCAAGAAAGGTGCTAAAGGCGGTGCAGGAGCACCTGGAGCACCGGCCGGTGCTGCTGGTGCCCCTGCTGGAGGAGGCCAAGTTTTCTTACATCGTTCCATACAAACTGAATGCACTTCAGACACCACAAAACTATACGAAACAGGTACTATCAAATTCGCTACATCTTCAGCTAAGTTAAAAAACAAACCACCTCCAATGGAAGGCGATAGCTTGGAAGCAGAGGAGTACGACAACAAGAAACGAGACTACGTCAAAGAAAACATGTCGAACCTAAAACCGAAACCCGTCAAACCTTCTCCCGTTAAGATCCACGCCGATCCCCCTCCGACCTACCAAAAAGGCGTTTTGCCCAAATATCTCCAGGACAAAAAGACGGAAAACACCGAAGACGACGACCAATGTCCACCGGGTCACGTGCTTCTGCCCGAGTCCGAACGCAAGGAGACTCTCAGAGTGCTCAGACAAAGCTACGCGGACAGAATCCAGGAACTCAACTGTCTACCGGTCAGAAGCGATACTTTGCGAGTGAGAAAAAAGAAAATGGAAATCGAAGAAGAACTGAAGAAAATAGATAGCGGTATCAAAGTGTTCCAACGTCCCAAGGTGTACGTCAAAATTAACTCCTAAAATCAAAATACTTTAAAGAATCGTCATTCTAAATTTAATAAAAGTTATATTAGTTTATACTTAGTGACAAAATTTTCGCACAAAATTTATTAGCTTTTATTGAAATTGTAGTTTGAATGTAATAAAATATAAGGAATATTTTAGTTTTTTCATTGTACTTTTTTATTCGTAGTCTTTTATAAACCACCTAAAATAAAACCAACTAGAATCTGCTGAAATATGCAACTATAATAAGCAATAAAAAAATCTCAAAACGCTTTTATAATGTTTCGAAAATGGCATATTAAATCGATATATTGCCGGATAATTTTAATTAAAACGAATTAATGAAAAGTATGCAGCTTGCATTTTGAATTTTCGGTTAAGTTTCGAATTAAACGTAGCATTTAGCGCTAAATCTAGGTGCGAAGTGGATTTATATGCACCTGCAACAGCGGCAAATGCAATTACCATTCGTGCGGTTTCATTTAAATATTTCAAATCCCATTAATATAAGACCGCGGAATATATTCATACTGGGGAAAGCGTATCACGGCTCTTTTATCGAAATTGTTTTATATTTTAAAGTTACTTATGAATATTTATGCATTTCTAAATGAAGGGATACGAAGTGGTTGCGGATCACCCATACCAGTAAAGGTCCTTTAATTTTGAGTTTTTTTCTAGGATTTTAAATAATTTGCAATTTTTATGTATGTTGTGTGATGTATTCACCTAACTGTTTCATAGAAAGACAGGGAGTTGTCTAAATGAACGTACTTTTTATACTACAGATAATAATAGCAATGTGAGATGGACTATTAAAATTTCATGTAGATATTTAAATTGGTATTATTATGAGGTAAAAATAATATTGAAAAGTATATTTTATGATCCATTAGAAATTTAAATTCAATGACATCTCATCTAGGTCAGGAAAAACATTTAAATCGTTGCGGTTTTTGTTAGCTTTATGTTCGTTGGAAGTAAGCAATTTTAAGATGTTTCTCTAAGGAAATAGCCAATATTTGTCATTCCATATTGACGTTTGAGTCTGCAGTCTGCGACAGTGTTTCTACATAAAGAATATTCGAGAAACGCAAAAATTGCACCATTTCCTCGACCGTAAAAGAAAATCATTAAAAAGAAAAATGATCTCTGGTGGACATACATTTGTCATATAAATATCAAGGAACTATAAAGAGTTCTTTTTGCGGAATGGCAGCATCGTTGATCGCCCGGCTCGTAAATCCTAGAAAACGTTAAAGATTTTTCTACGAGTAGCTTGATATATTCCATTTATTATTGGAATATCTTTGCGTGATTTTCTGTCTTTATGCGAAGCTATTTATAATTCCACGTTTCTTTTCTTTCGGTTCTAATAATTTTATATTATGTCATTTGTTCCACGTAAATTGTTAAAAAAATAAAACCTTTTATCGCAATCTACACGCCACTATTTTACGCGTTCCTTGCATAATTCTTACTATACCCAGTTGTAAATTTACCGTTGTTTTTCCCTATCTAAATTGCTCCTATCTTGTGCCGGCAATATTATTCATTTTAGTGTTAGTTATTTTTCCATTTGAGGCGAGGCGCCTTTTTACTCGTGTTATTTTTATTGCATAAACTTCATTTCTTTTTCTAGATTCCAGAACGTCCGCTTAACAAGTATGTACAATTTTAATATTTCCTTCTCGAAATATCCATTAATTGGATCCCCCATAGGAAGCTCGACTTTAAGATAGTAACCTGTCTCAGATAGTAATCTTCTTACATGTTTACTCTACTTTCTACTCTTCTTGTAATCTCGTAGTGATTATCTACATACTTTAATATGATGAATGAATTACTCTAAGAAACGATGATAATTCACAATCAGAATCTCGAATGTTAATTTGATTTGAGTACACCTGGTACACAGAAATATATTTAGTTATCACATTCCATAACGTGCGTTTTTGATTTATTTTTTGTCTAATTTAAAATATTTTTATGACATCATCATTACATATTGAAAACTCGGCGAGAATTTAAATTTTTTTCACATCTTGTATTGCATTATTAGCCGAATCATCTCACCAGTTGTAGAGGCCGAAAAAGATTAATAGCACCTAATATGTACGTTTAAATATGAACGGTGAGACTTCGAAGAAAATTGAATATTTGAAATTTATCAAATGTAGAGAGCAAAGCCGGGCTTTCTGGTTTATAATAACATGCATTGAGAATGCAAAGGTCACGCTTGCTCCATGAACTCGTTTTTTCAGTTTTGCCAAATTTTTACACATCGCCGGTTTCGCGAGAAAACCAAAAAAATATACATCTGGGAAAACAGAGTCTTAAATCGTCATAATTATTTTATTAAAAAAACCGTAACCGCACACCCAACTAGGAAACCGGTATCATTGTCGGATACGCCTTTGAGACTTCGTTCAGATAAATTGATCTTTATACCATTTACGTGGTTGACGGAAACCTTCAAGATTCATGCTATAAAACATTCGGGCTCTTTCATTGTACCTGATTTATTGGAGTTACCGGGAAAAATTGCCGAGCCAAATTTATTGCCCGGATTTAATCTACTCACCAATAGTTTTTTACCTTTGCTGATATCGCCCTAACTAGCCTTTTTTTTAATTTAAAACGCCGTTACAATTCCACGTCGGTTGCAATTGCGAAATTGTGCTATAAATCATTCGAAAGATACGAAACTAATAAACGGAAGGATATTATTGCTCTTTATTCACAATTAATTTCTGCTGATTCCAAAGCTAATCAAATCAGACTTACATATAAACCTTCCAAATACGATTGTCTCTTATACACATACAACACTTTAATTAAATCAAAGTACATTAAAGATATTAATTATAGGTGAACGTACGCCGAAGAAATTGATATTCCTAAAATTCCTTTCATTCGATTTCATCTACTTTTTTTAGTGTTGTCGAAATGCGAAGAGAACATTAGTTACATAATAGGAATTGTATTATTCATGTGTCGGAATTCAATGGGAAAAACTTTTAATTTCGGCTGAAGCGTAGAGCTTTTGATAGAGCTTTGCGTCGCGACGCCTTGCCACGACGCAGCGCGGGTCACGAAAATTGCATATTAAATATTTAATAGATTGTTAGAGGCCGTCGACAAATAACATTTCAGCGCGTCCGTCGGCGTCGTCGCCGGGCGTCGAAAAACCTTCATTAGAAACTTTGTGTATTGTAATAAAAATTTAAGAGAACGTCGACAGCCGGTTGGACCGAAAATCATATTCAAATTTATTCACAGCGAGAACTTTTAAATATCGGAAATTACAAGACATCGCGAAATAGGACAAAGACAAACGGAAAATTAAAATTTCAGTTTGTATTATGTAATTTTTTTTAATTTTCCAGCGCTCGGCTATTGTCGCGATAAAAGAGCGTCGGAGAACCGCAAAGTATATTTTTGTTTTTTTTTAATTGATTTCGCCTCGAAGTTACGAAAGTAGATGATGAGAAAATGGAGTATTTAAATTGCAATAAGAACGAATCCGAGACTCGACCTCGTAATTTTACTTTGGGATTACAGAAGTCAAATAAAGTGAGAATTGAAAATAACTTGAGAATAATGAGTAGTATTAAAATTTTTCTTGATTTATTTGTACGCTGGATTTTTTTTAAATAATAGGACTGTCTTGCAGTCATTATTGATTAAATTTTCATTCGCAGCTACTTCATTATAATCATGTTTGTTTTAAAAACAATCAATTAAGTTTGCTCCAAACACTTATGTAGTTTCAGCTTACGATAATTAACTAGAAACTATCTCACATTGTTGACTTTTGAACTACTACTATTACCTACAATATATTGAATTTCGTCTATTTTGCAAGCCGTAAATTTTGTACATATGAGATTAGTTTCGACCGAATGCTTGTAGATTTTTCTAATGTCATGAAGGACATGTATACGAAGTACAGGAAGTACAATCGTTCGGTTACGGGCCTGCTTGTTATATTTTCTTGGGAAAAGTTGGAGAATTATTTTCCAAAATGATAATGAAATTAAGCACTTAGCGGTTGGTTAAACTTTTGTAATGTGCCATTGGCGAAACGGTATAAAGGTAGTATAAGTATAAAAGTTTGCACCGCATCTCGCATTCTATCGCAAATACAATTTGCGAAGCGCGATTATATGGCCTGTTTTATTCGAATAAAATGCGAACTGTGTAAATAAAGTGATCACAATAAACACGTCTTCCTAAATTTAAAAAAAATCTACAACGCTCGAATGTCTCCTTTCCTGCACGAGCTCGTCTTTGTCCAGCTCTTGTAATCACTTCATCTATTTCCATATGACGAAAGCTATAAGAGCAACATGTTTTTTTAGTATGATTTACAAGTTTATTGAACTGTAACTGAAACCTGAATTTTTTACGTTTATTTAGAGAAAAACGTGTCGCTTCCATTTCGCGCGGTATTTTTAACGCCGAGCAAAAGAAAAATGTTTATCTCCAATTTGTGACAGGCGATACAATTTAACATGTCACTTCGAGGAACTGATTGTTCGAGACAGATCCTCGTGTCGGAATGATTTGTTTTCGCAATCCCGAACATGAAATATTCTCAATTTTGACGACGTACACTTTATAACTTCACTTACAATCTCTTGGAAAACGATGATGGTGTCTCTGCGATGGTTATTGCAATTTTCCAGGAAGACGTATGAGTTTATAGTATAGCCGACGGAGCGCATATTTTTGATATCAACAACGATGAAATTGGTTTTCGCAAAAAACCACTCGCGTTTTACTCGCGCAAGCTGCATGCATCATGTACCAGCTTGAATATTAACAATTTATCTACCTACAAAATGTTCAACATTTTTTACTTTCGTATTGCCAACGTAAAACTTTAATAAACGAACTAGAATAGTCATTTCCTACTGTATTATAGCATCAGGTAAATTATACAACTTTAAGTAATAGTACTATCTAATATAAGTGTTAATTTATTCTGTCTTTAAAATACACATTTTTCATAAGTTTTGTCCAAAAGTTAAATGTAGTTTCCATATGGAAGTTTTCTTGTAAGTTATCTTTACCGGTCTAATAATCGTTGCGAAACAGAGTTGTTTGAGTTTTTCCGCGAAAGTTATACACTTCAAG